TAAATCAAATTAAAATTTTGAAGGCTTTTCACTTAAAAGCGTTTTGGATCTGATCAACAACCCATTATCATTTGATTAAATTTGATTCATAAACAAACCAAAACAAGAATCAGTATCAGTCGACAAAATATTTTTTTTTCTATTTGTTAATAAATCTTTTTATTTGGACAGGAAATATTAGACACATTTTCCCGTAACTTATTATTATTATTATTATTTTTATCAGAAATGCATATATGTGTTTATATAGAGAATATATTGAGACCCTATGGATGCTTGTTTCTGCCACTAAAACATCAACAACCAAGGTTTGAGTCAGAAAGTCGAATTTGGAGATATTAACCAGTAATGCATTTTCCAGAAACACGTGGTCCACGTGGACCTGTAGTACATAATAAATTCCCGAGCATTAATTTTTGATTTCATCTATAGATTTTTCCTAAGCATTATGACGCTATCTAGTGGCACTAGGGTGAAAGCAACGTTGCGTGACGTCACTACGTAATGCGCTTGCGTAAAATGTCTACGGAAGTATTGGTGTACGATCCACAGCTTTAACTGCCGGGCACAACTGACAGCTCATAGTTGCTCTACTGGAATAATGTCTGGTGCCGCCGGTTTGTAATGCGGTCGAGATAAGAGTTCCCACACTATGGCAGCATTATGATTCTTCTTCGTAGAAAGCAGCGGACACCTGGTATACTCCACACCTGACTACAGTTTTCACAGAGCCAAAGGAAGATCAAAATGAGCTCTCAGGACATACTGCAGAGTGTGTCCACTCTAGCGTCCTATAATGTGTTGCTACAGGTAAACAAACACGGTAGTTGATGTGTGTTGAGCATTTACAGCATTTTTTTTATTTATTTATTCATTTATTTGTCCGGTTTTATGTCCTCAGGTAATGTTCCGTGTGCTCACCTTTCTTCTGAATGCCTTTACGCTGCGGTTTGTGTCCAAAGAGCTGATTGGGGTGGTCAATGTCAGGTAAAGTTTGCAGGAAAACAACACAATGGTTTTCGGGCTCCAGCCGCTGTAACATGTGTCCTTACGTGTGTCTTTATTATGCAGGCTTACACTGCTGTATTCCACATTAGTGTTTCTGTCCAGAGAGGCTTTCCGGAGGGCCTGTCTGAGCGGGCAATCGGGCAAAAACCACAGCTGGAGACCAGTTATCAATCTCCTATGGATGACGTGAGTTGATTAGATGATAAAATAGGCATTCTGATTTTCAGTTTTTGATGCTCACATGTTATTTCTACTTTTTCAGGGTACCCCTTGGTGTGTTATGGGCAGTACTTCTGTCATATGTGTGGCTTTGGCTCCTAGAGGTCCCAGATGCTCACACTGTCCCTTACTACAGTCCTGCTGTGGTGCTGTTTGCCTTATCTGGGGTGCAGGAGCTCCTGGCAGAACCCTTGTGGGTCTTGGCTCAAGCTCACATGTTTATCCGATTGAAAGTGGTGGCTGAAAGCTTGGCAATGATCGCAAAGTGCAGCATAACTGTGGTGCTGGTGGTGTTTTCCCGTGAATGGGGCCTTTACATCTTTTCTGCTGCTCATGTAAGAAATCAGCTGAAGTATCAGCTGCTTTATTTCTGCAGATATTTGTTTGAACTTTTCACGACTTTGTGCTGTGTTCACTTTTTCTAGTTGGTGTACACAGGGATCCTGGTGCTATGCTATGCTGTTTACTTCATTCATTTCCTGGGTTCCAAAGAGGCAGCGAGGAATAGTTTCCCACTGCGCCGTGTTAGAGATTTGCTGCCCCGCAGACAGTATGGAGAGGTACTTGACCTTACACGTCATTATGCATTACTCATCACTGATCCCATCAAAGTCACACTGAGTCATTGCATCTGAAATCACTGTGTGCCTTCTGCTCGACCATCTCCAAATTTGCATGCTAAATTTATGGTACAAAGTTTGGATGTATGTGATGATTGCTGTGAAATATTCACACTGAAGATCAAATCATTCTCTCTCTCTCTCTCTCTCTCTCTCTCTCTTTTTCTGATTTATGAAATTCCTAGTCGCAAAAATTAAGAAAATGGCATTACCATTCAACTTTCATGCTGGTAGAGCAAATATGACAATTTGTACCACAAAAACAATAGCAGACAGTCTAACCTGAATAGAAGAAAACTCTATTTTGTGCAAAGTTTACATTTTTGAGACCCACTTTTAAGGCATGCACTCTGCCCTGAAGGAATCAAATCATTCAGATTAGGTTTAAAATAAATGCAACAATGTATCATTTTCATGTATATTATAATATCATAGACAGCAGCCTTCGTTGCAGCAGTCAGCATGATGATTATCTGATCCCTGCTTGCCTGTGGAAGTTCTGGCGTTAAGGTTAGGTTTGGGTTACACTGCCTCAGATGCCTCAGGGAAACAACACCCTGAAAGTGGGTGGATAGGCCATTAAAAAATCTAGAAAAGCATTTAGCATATAAAGCTAAAAATTTATATCCAAGCTTTGTGCTATAATGTTTTAGGTAAATTAGAGACAGTCAAGCAGAAAATGTTGTAAAAATCTGATTATTTGTGATTATTAATTATATTTTGGTTACTATTCACGGCGGATATTCTTAACCTTTTTCTGTGTTTAAAGCCGTTAGTCGACAGGAATCTAGCGCGGCTCACTTGGAGCTTCTTCAAGCAATCCTTCCTGAAGCAGATCCTGACCGAGGGTGAGCGATACGTCATGACCTTTTTGAACGTCCTCAGCTTTGGAGATCAGGGTGTTTATGATATCGTCAATAATCTGGGCTCCATGGTGGCGCGCTTCATCTTCTTGCCAATTGAAGAAAGCTTCTACATATTCTTTGCCAAAGTGCTGGAGAGAGGGCGCAATGTCAAAAGTCAGAAACAGGTCTGAACTGTGGACGTTATCTCAAACAAATGTTTGTGAGTGGCTATGCTGGAATTGTTGATTTGACCTCTTTTTGCTGGTTTTTGTTATAGGAAGAAGTTGCCATTGTCGCAGAGGTCCTGGAGTGCCTGCTGAAACTGGTGCTGGTGATTGGTCTGATTATCACAGTGTTTGGTTATGCATACTCTCACCTGGCTCTGGATATTTATGGTGGCTCTCTCCTTAGTAGTGGGTCAGGTATGTGAGCTACAATCCGGTGACAGGAGACACCAGTATATGACATTTTGCTTTGCTGGGAATTTGTAAAATGTGTTTCTTTATTTTTTAGGGCCCAGTTTGCTGCAATGCTACAGCTGCTATGTCCTCCTGCTTGCTGTGAATGGTGTAACAGAGTGTTTTGTTTTTGCTGTCATGAGCCAAGAAGAGGTTGACAAGTGAGAATGCAGAAACACATATATATGTATATAGACACACAGTTATTTTATAGCGTGTAAACTGTCATTTAACACTGAGTTTATGTCCTCAGGTACAACTTCATCATGCTAGCCCTGTCTGTCTCCTTCCTCTTCCTTTCATACGTACTGACAAGTTGGGCTGGCAGTGTTGGCTTCATACTGGCAAACTGCCTCAATATGGGCCTCCGTATCTTACACAGCCTGCTTTACATACACCGGTACTTCCAGTTGAGTTGGTGGAAACCTCTGCGAGGCCTGTTGCCCTCCCCTCTCATACTGCTGGCGTTGGGCGTCAGTGGAGTTGTCACAGCAGTTTCTGAGGTTTGTTTTTTTCTCAAAACAGGAACTTTTGAGCTGCGCTTTTAGTAAACATACTTATTATTATTTTTATTCTGTAGAAGTCTGTGATCCTAACTGGAGCATCTGTTTTCTTGTCTCCAGGCTTTTTTCTGCTGCGACAGCGGCTTGCTTCTGAGGCTCGTCCATATCGGCGTGGGGGCAATATGTCTGCTTGGTGTGGTTGTAGCTGTTCTTCTCACAGAGACTAAGCTTGTTCAGTTTGTGAGCACTCAGCTGCTGCCTCGATTCAGAAAGAAGCGCACTTAAATTAGACGTAAAACTGTTACACCTGACTCAAAGAAGTCGTGCGTTTCCACTACAAACTGAGCCGGGGAACAACCTTTTCTTTCTAAGGACCTCACATGTGTCATGAGCGTGTGTGAATCTGTGAGTTTTATATAAAAAAATGAATGAATTTAGTTGTGGGTTTAAAAAAGTGGATGTATTTTAATAAAACTCTTTATTGTTTTACACCATGACCACTGTATTTATATCTGTGGTGTTTTTCCAGGAATTAAATGGAAAAAAGTTTGGTTTTAAATACTGCGTTTGTGTTGCTCACCTACCTCTGTAGCTGTTTTGGTGAAACAGTTGTGCACAAACTAAGGCAGGCGCTCTCAGTGTTGACTGATTGGAGTAGAGTTGTATTTAAGAAGCAGTACAACATGTTTACTAAAATGAAATGAAATGCTTGACTTCTGCTACCTTACCTTGACCAAATATTTTGTTTATATTGTGAGAAGTAGTTACGTTCTTGAGCCTTGATTTGCACTAGTATTTTTTTTTCCTTTTTTTTAGAAAGAAAAGTTTGAGTTCAGTGCTTAAGTCAACTCAGCTACTTTGTAATTGTTTCCCTGTCTGATAAGACAGCCATTTAATTGCTTTTCTTGCCCCTAAACTAATTTCCACTGAATTTGGGATCTCCGTGGGGTTGAATAATGATGTAATTATGGAAAATGAACCTATCCCATCAGCCCAGCAATTTTTTCACAAAGATGGATGGATGGGTGTGTGGGTGGGGTGACATTCTTTTACAGCAGGAAAAATTAAGTCTCCTCTTAAGAAAATCAAGTACTTATCTCTTGATTCACATCTTATAAACTTTGAGTTTAATTTGCATGGTTTGTTTATTGTCAGCGCTGTTAGAAAGCAGCTGCCCAACCACGCTTGCAAGATTCCTACACCGCCGATTTATTCGACAAAAAGTAATGCCACAAGCTGTAGAAGTGTTTCATTTTCTAAGAAGCAGACCCTGAGAAAAATAGGAGGGAGAGATCAAGAGGAGGAGTCAGTTCCCTCATTACGTCATTTTTTATGTGTTAGGAACAGAGTTATTGCCCACTGGAGACTGACTCACTGTTAGGTTGTGTATATATATGAGAGTGTGTGTTGGGTTCGGCCTGTTGGAGAAAGAGAGCCCGCTGAAAGAAAGAGAATTTATTCCAGGCCATCTTCAGCTACTCAACAATCATGTCTCAAGTAAGAGCAGTGTTTGAGCTTTCAAAGCAGGGCATAATTGTTGCAGACACGGGGACTATCAGTAACCTCTGTGTTTTACTTTCCCTTTACTGCCTTTCAGCCTAATCAGGAAGATGAGCAAATGCAGCGTCCTGAAGTGAGAGAAGAAGACCTGACTGAAGCAAAGAACAAGCTGGGTGCTGCCGGGCCTCCCAAGAGCAAGACAATGGAAGTAATGGAGGAGTGCGGTAAGGACACTAAACCAGCAGATGAGAGCGAATGAAACTATTCTGCTTTCTGTATTTGGTTAAGCTAAGACCACACTGCAGCCGTGAGTAAATGCGAGGGGCGTTTCTCATGATGCTCAAGTTTCCATTCCATATACAGAGAAGAAGAAAAAAAAGAAAAGAAAGGGGTTGTAATGATGGGAGATTCCTGTCACAGTGTTCCCTCTGACACGGAGCGGGACACAATGTACTTACAGAGCAAATATTTGTCTTACATAATCCTCTTTACTGCTGCATTTACAGTGAGATATCCTACTGCTGTTTCCTGTTCTTCACAGAGAAAATGGGTAAAGTTGCGCCCTCTGTGTTCAGCAGAGCGAGGTCAGGAGCAGAGACTGCTTTCAACACTCGCTCAGGCCAGCCAATCAGGAAATAGGAGAAAACCTGACCGTGGCTGAATCACACCTGCTCCATGTTCATGTGTTTGGATCAGCTGTTTTCTTGTCTTACTTCAACCCAAGGAAAATCTTGTTTAAAGCCCATTTTTTCTGTATTTCGTTATGACAAAATTTTACACTAGATTTATATTGATAGTTCCTTGAATTTTAAGAAAGGTGCCTAACTGATGAACTCAGTTTCAGTGTTTAAAACATATTTGTTGATCTGTCTGATACGACTTTTTGTTACACCAGAAGTTTCAGAGTGGGAGTATAAAGTAGTGTATGCAGTACACTTCAGAAAAACCTTAATGATAATAATGATAATAATGAACAGAAAGACAGATTTATTCAGCAACGATTACGAAATTACTTTGCAATAAAATCTCTTGAAATGATGCAAATTGTCTCTTCTTGCCTGTCTGTTATTACAGTGAGATGCTAGTAAACTTTACTACTAAAATCCAAAAATAAGAGGCAAAACTAAGAAAATTAAATTTTTCCTTTTTTATTTCAAAACTTTCCATTGACAAATGGAACAAATAAAAATTCATCTGAACAAAACTACTACAGAAAGCAGAGGCAGGGACACCGGAGTGAGTTACAGTGAAGGGCAAAGATGATAAAATGCAATGAACGTTAGAGTGAAACTAGGATGGACAAATACAATGATCACAAGTTTTATTTCATAAACTTGTGATCCTGATCTTGGAGGATTTTTGCTGAAGACTTGGCGTCATAGAACAGCTCATTGATCTCTTCTACCTGCTCCCTCTCCACTGTTTCTTTTCCCTGAACGCGGCCCAACAGACTTGCCGGCGTCAGCAGCTGTACAGCGTATCTGAGACAAAACAGGAAATAGGAAAGACTCAGTACACCCACACACACATATTTATAGTAAACCTGTTTATAGCAGAAGATAGTTTAATGGGTGCAAATCCTACAAGAGCTTTACTACAGTATACAGTCTTTTATCTGTAACTTTATACATGTTGGTCTCAGTGACGTAGCTGACCTATTCTAATCCCTTTGAACAACGTTTTTTTTTTTTAAACATCTGGCAACAGTTATGGCTAAACAAATTTATTACGGTACGTCAAAAATAGAAAGAGTACACATGAACTTTTAGATTTTGTTGAGCAAACCGTAACTGAGTTGAGGCATTTCATTATAACACACCCACACCCAGAGTGTTTGGCCGTACCTGAGGGTGGTCTTGGTGCCAATCTCTGCCAGGTGTGTAAGAGCCTCCTCGCTGATGCTGATTCCTTCGGTCTGAGCCCGAATCTTGATGATCTGCAGACCACAGCCTCGTTAGTGACGCATGCACAGACAGTTTGATGTCGCACATCACATAATCCACAGAAATTGGTTTTCAGACTTACCTGCTTCATCTCCTGTGGTGTGTACAACATGGTGCGAATGATCATGACTCTGTCCAGCAAGTCCAGAGGAATGCCGTGTGGAGAACTGATGTCCTCTGTCCCCCTGGTCAACAAAAACTACTTAAATCCTGAAACTGTTTTGTTTTACCTTAAAAATAAACAAAAACAAAATGTGCTTCTCTCCATAAAGCACTTCTCACCTGATTAAACAGTTTCCCCTGTTAGAAGCGAATACGACAATGGGGGCGATGCTGCTTTCCAGTGCTCGATGGAGGTACGTGAAGCATTCAATGTCCAGCATGTGCACCTCATCCACGAACAGCACGCCGGGTACGAGCTCAGCTATACCTTGGTCTATGTAGCGGTTCACCACCTTGTTGATCTCAGCACGCAACTTATCTGCAGCGAGAAATTGGCAGTGGGTCAAGAACTGAAGACAACTTGAGAGATTTAGTCTGAGTTAGGTGTTACACCGTCTCTACCAGTGATTTCTGTCTTTTTGGGCTTCATCAATTGTCCCATCATGGAGAGAATGTCCTGGCCTCCCTGAGATGAAACAATGAACCGTTTATAAAGAGTGCCAATATAAAAACAATCAAATTTAAGATGTATACAGATGTGTTTATTCCAAACCGATGCTACTTTATTATTGCAGTTATGTACCTGGGGGCGAGCATTTGCAACATCCAGGTCATGCAGTGTGACATCTTGGACAATCTCCTTCTTTTTGTGGACATCACCTTTGGGCAGCGGAACATACTCCTCTGCCTCCAGGTCAAACTCTGTTGCAAAGGTGTCACAGCGGCCTTGTCTCTGCAAAGGCACAGTAATAGAAAAGATTAATGTCTCACATTGCTGCAGTCAACAATGAAGGGAAAGGTACCACACTGCAGGAGGGAGAGCAGATGTATGACTGAACTCAGTGCCAGCCCACTGCAGAAACAAGGGCATGTGGCTGAAGGATGAAAGAGGTTCAGAAGGAAAGTCATGAGGTGGCTGTCAACAGTAACAAATGTGTCGCCCAGCCCTCCTCCTTTACCCTCTGACTAGAGCCGACCTGTGCTTCTGGCCCACCTGCACTGATTAAAAGAACCGCTCCTGCAGCCTTTCAGCACAGGCCGCAAGCCCCACTGTTGGTAAAGAGGCACTGTGGGAGATGGAGAGATAAATGGAACATGAAGAGCCGCAGGAATGAGAGGCTCATTCCAGAGTACAACACAAATGCAGCAGGGTGGAGAGAGATGAAAGCATGCCACCATGAAGGGTTGAAGAGGACAAGCAAGATGGAAAAACCCTCAACTTTGACCCGACTAAGACGTTTTTTGGAAAAAACATTTTTCATCTGTAAACTATACACAATCTGGTAAATGAACAATCAGCCATGATCAGTTTCTCGCTTTTGCCAAAAACCAAAATGTGCTGCAAATGTAACATAACAGCATAAAAGTAAAATAGTTTACCTTCACGGCTCCGCTGTTAGCTTCAATGTAGATGACGTCTCCCACCTCCACACGCTCTTTCTGAAGACTCTCGTAAATACTGGGATCCAGCTAAGGAAACACAACAACTTTAAATGTTTTAAAGCAAAACGCTGGCCTAGCTTTGGCTGTCAGGGTTTTTTAGGGTTTTTTTTTTGGCCTTTTTCAGCTTTATTGACAGACACAGTGAAGAAAGGACAGGAAAGCTGAGGGGAAAGATTAAAACTCTCAGTCTGACCTTGAGCTGCTTTGTGCCTTTGGCAGTCTTCAGACCGATGATGACGTGGCTGATGGTTTTGCCATAGCCGCCCATGGGATTCTCGGTCTCGCATGGGGTCAGCTCTGTCACCTCCCCTTCATACACCTCCTTTGTTTCTTTGATGCGCAATCCTGAATATGGCGCAGCATTACAGTTACACATTTACACACATACAAACTTATGCACAACCTAATCTGGTCTTTATATTCCTACATGAGCTAAGCCGCAGCATCCATTGGGTCACCGAGCAACGTATTTTATTACAGAAAAGAAACATGTGTCCTGTGAAATGACTGGACATTGTTCAGTGTAACACGATCATGCTCTTGTTCCTGTTACATGCAGCACACAGGTGTCTAATCCTCGGTGCTGTGGGGCACAGAGCAGCTCTAAAGGCGGGGACTGTCCATCAGGGTGCTGTTATTGACAAGGTGATGACAACGTTCAAATGAAACCTGGTCTCTCTGAAGAATCTGCTCAAGGGGTGGAGTGAATGTGCTAATGACCACGTCTCCCTCCACCTTGGCTCCATTTGCTGCCCACTCAACAGGTAGCATCAGCAGTCTCAGATCCCCTTTCTGCTATTCCTTCTCACCACCTTTATAAATCTGCTTTACAGTGTTACCTTTCAGCTCATGACAACTGTGTGTGCAAGAGTTTCTTTCTCACTGCTAGTATGACCTGATCTTTTCCCACCAGTACAATAGAAGACACGCATAAAAATATTATTTTTAAAAAGACAAAATGCTTTAGGTGTATATCAATATTAAATCTAATTAAATCATTAGGCCAGTTTCTTATTTTCTTACCAATTAAGCCTTTGGTAATAGTAAGCTCATTTTCACTTCTACAAACTAAATGCCCAACAGGTCACAACCCATCGAGTAAACCTGGAGAACAGAAAACTAAAATCTGGGTTAAAAATCTATCCAACACTCACCAATCGCCCTCCTGAAATTCTCCATCAATACTTCTGTCTTCTTGATTTCAGATGAGTAGACCTCACTGCCGACCATGGGGCAGAATGGTACCTTGTTTCCCAGCTCCTGTGCCATAGCCAGGGCGAGGGCAGTCTGAAGGTGCGCAGGCAGGAAGAAATAAAGAGGCATGGTTAACAAACGCTGCATAGATATCTGCTATATTAAATTAAACCTTACTGCTGAACACAGCACACTTACCTTTCCTGTTCCAGGTGGCCCTGCCAGTAAAATGGCCCTCCCTGCCATCTTTTTTGAGCGGATCAGCTCAACGATGATACCACAAGCCTGGAGAATAAGACAAATTAGACTATTATGCACACGCGCAAGGTTTAAATGCAATACAACTAACTAGCAAAACCCCCACTCCTGAACCCAGGCGTTATACAACCCTGTTGGAGAACTGTAAAGCACACGAGGCAACGCATCTGTTGTGGCTAAAGTCACACTCTGATACAAACGTCAGTTCCTTTAATGTGGCTGACAAAAACAATTCAATTCAAAGCCCACCGAGTGGAACAAGAATTTAGCAATTCACATCCGATTTAGTAGAGTGTTTAAAAGTTTAACAGCATACAACTGTCAAAAAGTACAATAATGTCATAAAATAAGATATACATGAATCTAAAATAAGGCATTAGCTCTTTTACTCTGTGTTCTTGGGGACAGGGGGGCTTTCTCTCATTAGTAGAAGGCAAAAAGAGTTCCGATGGTATTATATCTCATGGATGAGGTAGATCTGCTGTGTGTTCATGTGTGTTTTTGTGCATCTGCGTGTTTAAGTGTGCTAGTGTATCAGTGAGTGAGTCTGTCTGTAATCCCTTTAAGGGTGTGTGGCATTGCTGCAATGAAGAAAAGCGAGCAGATCGACATTCTGAATGTCACCCTGAGCGCTGATGTAAACAAGATGTTATGATCATATAGATGCTATTAATAATGAAGTGTCCACCCTAACAGCACCAAGTAAGTGGTTTAGAGTTTTACTGGCACGTGGACATTTTTTTTAGGCCTGAAGAAAAAACTTTTATATGGTTTTTATTAGAAAACACGATTTTATTAATAAACCATTTTATGTTATTAAAAATCAGAAAAATACTGTTACGAAAGCCTTGAAATAAATGGCCTAATATACACCATGCTCACCTTTAGATTCACCCCTGCTTGCTGCAGGTTTGTGATTGTGATTGAAAGTGCTGCTGCTGTGTTATGAGCTTTTTGTTTAAAAACTGGGGGCTGTGTGGATTTAATGGCTTAGTTTTTTTCTATTGCATCTCTATTTTTAGTCGCAAATATGAGTGAGATGCTGGGTGATGACTGAGAACAACAGAGCTGTGGGTTAAACAAAGCATAGAAGCAAAAACAATTTGCCCCAAGGATTTTTTGCTCTTTATAACCGAGTTATGCAAGTTATTCTGAATTGTAGCAGCACTACAAGCTGTGTCAATCTAGTTATAATCTGTGCAATCCTCTGTAGCCACTCACATTAACTGTCAGAGAAATAATAATGCATTGTATATTTGTATCAGAATAGCAAATAACAGCTTGCACAATTACTTAAGAAATGCTAATTGTTCTCGTTCCCGTCCTGTGATCCCGCTTTTATCATCTACAAAATATTGCTCGCCTCAGTAAAATTCCATCCAAATCGGAAATGGAAACAACTGGACTACTGCAATTCACTGTACATTGGCTTCAATAGGTCATTTGTTGGATCGCTTACAAATAGTCCAACCAGCAGCTGCGAGGCTACCTCCAAGTGTTCTGATGTGACACCCTATTTGACGTCTTCACCCTGGATCCCCATAAGTTCAGACTAAGATCTTTGCAATCATTTTCAGAGCCCTGCATGATCAAATGCCTGCGTTCATTAGTAAATGATTGCATCCATATACAGCATGCAGGTGATTGAGATCTTCTGGCCAAAACCTCATTGTTCTACTCTGAAGACCGAAAATGAAAGGAAATCATGCATTAGGGATCGAGAATGTACTACTATTACATTTAAAATCCGTGGACTCCAATGAAACTTTAAAGGAGCTTATTTGCATAGACTTGCTTTTTCCTAGTGGAAATTATTGTTGTGTTTTTATATCAGCATTGTTCTTTGTTGATTGTTGTGGTAAAGCATTTCATCTAGAAATGTGCTATATAAATATGTTTTACCTTCATTCGTTACAAAAACATCAGCACTGGGTGCAGCGCATGTAGCAGAGTACACATCGGAGGTGGGCAGGGTCAATGTAGGAATTTTAAGAATATTAAGAAAATAATTTCTAATATCTGATTTTTTTTTATCTGTCAGAAATATAAAACATAAACAGATTTCCCTAACATTTGTTACTATAGTAATTCATTAATGCTCTGGTTGTTGCTTCTGTGGCGTTCCAAATTACAGGGAAGTTGCAGAGTGCCCTCTGATGGACAAACTATGCAGTGTCAATACGTCGTTCTCTAGTCTCCTCTTTATATTTTCCCTATTTTCACTGTTAAGGCAGTATAAATGCCAATACTAACAGACCACTAAACAGCTATTAACTGTTGATAAACCTACCCTGCTGATAAATGAATCAGGCTCTAGTCTACGGGTGTCAAACATATGGCCTGGGGGCCAAAATAAACCAAGCAAAGACTCCAATCCAGCCCATTGCACATTTTCCAAAGTCATCCAAAGTGGAATAAATTATTATTTTTTTAACTGTATTTTCATAGGTTTTACAGCTTTTTCCTGCTGCTAATGACATCCCTATTCATATTACACCAAAGCAACAGATAAGCAATTAAATGACAGAAAATTTCCAGGTTTTTTTCTCCCCACTATTTTCTAAAAAGGCTCCTTTTTTCACAGCGATTCCCAATTAAATATAATTTTTGTGACTTTAAAAAAAATGCTGTTTCATAGTTGCAGGTCAGTCTGAACAGGGAACTACCAGAACCTTTTCAGCAATTTTAGACATTTATTTCTTTCAGTTTAAGACTAAAGAATCATGTTGACAGAGTTCTTTTACTATTTACTACAGTAAAATGTCTATATCATGTAGAAAAACTGAGACATGCTGTTTAAATTTCACGTCTTTATCTTATGTTAAGATATCTCAGAGATTAAATGTGCAGTTATACACTGACGGAAAAGAGTTTCACTGGTCCAGCCCACTTAAGATCAAAGATGGATGTATGTGGCCCACAACATGAAATGAGTTTGACATCCCTGCTCTAGTCTTTACCATAACTTTGCTATTTAGTTTGTGAAAAGCTTTGCTGGGTTAACAATGAACCTGCAATGTTTAATTTTCAATAAAACTCACACTAACTGGCAAATATATCAGTTTGTACATTCAAATAAATGTTACTTACCAATGTCAGTGGCAACTGATCATTGAATTGGTGTGTTACATGAGTTTTGTGGGTGTACATTTTTTAAATATAGTGTGACACCCTGAAAGACTTTACACCACTTTTTTTTATTAGTAATGATGTTTTTTTTTAAATTACCAGCACAAAATGGGAATAAATAGCAAATAAAAAGATAAATACAAAAAATTGACAATGGCCAGCAAGAAAAATTTGTATGCCATTAAAATTTGTATCAGCTCCCATAATTCACTGCTGTTCGGGATCATTTAATTTTCCACTTAAGAAAAGGGATATATTAAACCACATTTGAATGTTAAAATGGCTTTAAATAAATGTAGTTCATCTGGTTGTCCTTCTTGTACCTGTACCCAACAGCAGATCCGTTTTTTCTCAACTAGATCCATCAACAACTGATACCTCCCTGCTTTCCGTTAGAAAACAGTTATTATAAATTCACAATTCATACTTTTAATCCAGATTAAGTTAAACTATAGGGATGTATATACCGTCTTCTTATAAGTTAGCGTCTCTCTGTCACAAATCGGACCCGCAAACGACAGCGACCCCACTCAATGCTAATAGGATTAGCTTGTACTGTAGTGCCTGTAAAGCGCTCAATTGTCCTCGTAAATATTCCCTTCTTACATAATATTCCCCCAAAAGAAAAAAGAAAGCAAATGACGTGAAACACGAATATTACCTCTCTTGCAGCCTCCTGGCCCACGAGTCCACATGCTGTCTGTTTAGCATTACCGGCCTCGTCTAGCCCCAGTCCTTTGACGTGACTGTGTGAAGCGATCCTCTGCGTTTTTGTTGTGCTTTTTACCTCCTCGATCTTCATAGTTGCGTTATTTGTGAAAATGTATAGTGTAAAGTCTGCCAGATGCGTTAAATACACATATAATCTCTAACACGAAATACCGCCTCAATCGGCGCCTAAACTCAAAACACAGGAAAATCTGTTTCCATGTGGGTTACTAGGGAAAATAAGCGGAAGTGATACCTTTAAGTACCGCCCATCTAACAACTGTGGTAAACTATTGGGCTACGCCAAATATCCCTGAGCATTTATTGGATTAGAGCCTGTCAATCACATTTACACTCCAGAGCCCGCCCTTTTGTCGTTTCCCATTTCCGTTTGTGTTTCTGTTGGTTTGTCGTAGTAGAAACTGTCAAAAACTTGCAAATATATGAATTAAAATACAATATAAATGCAGGAATAAAAAAGGTGGACGGGTTTTAATAATTTCAAAATTAAGATGTGATTAAAGTGCTATTATGAGTGATCACTTTCCTTTTATGATTTTTGTCTGCTAATAAAAAACAGTTCCCCCTTAACATGTTGTCCCTGGGATAGAATACACTGACACTAGGGAAGACTTTCAACAGTTTCCTCGAAAGTTATGTCAGATTTATTACTAAACCACACGCTGTAAGCCACAAAGTATTCGTATATTTTGTTGCGGCTTTGCTAAATAAGCGCAGTCTGTGGCCATAAACTAGCCCCGCTTTTTGTCTGTTTTTGGAGCCGAGTTAAGCGTCTCTCCCAGAGTAGAGAAAAATACGCGCTCCAGGTAAGAGTTCAACAACATGTCCGAATCTTCTGACACCCGCACGAAAACGTTAAATTTCAACGTCGGCGTGCTCGGACATGTCGACAGCGGGAAGACGTCGCTCGCCAGGGCGCTGAGCAGCACCGCGTCCACTGCCGCCTTCGACAAGAACCCGCAGTCCCGCGAGAGAGGCATCACTCTGGACCTCGGCTTCTCCTCCTTCACTGTGGATCTTCCCGATCACCTGCGGGACAGCGTGGGGAAGCAGCCATATGACAGCCTCCAGTTTACCCTGGTGGATTGTCCGGGGCACGCTTCTCTCATTCGAACTATCATTGGAGGTGAGCTCTGATGTAGGAGGGTCACGATTTCCCATTTTAAATACAGGATTATCAAAAGAAATGACAACAACGATTTTATCGCGATATTTACAGAAAATGTAAATATGCAGTCAGTTAAATCTACTTTGTGTGTGTATGTGACTGCATGCTGTCTTCTTGGGCAATAAAATAACTTGCAGGAATCTGGGTACAAAAAAGTTTGGATGTGAGACCACAGACATAAAATACCTTCATAAACCTCAATTTCACATAATTTCCTTATTGATGCATGCTCAATCATCCAGGTAAGTAAATCCCCAAAAGTTGATTCTGTTCATCTGGGCGTAGCGTTTTCAGAAGGAGAAACGTTTCAACACTCATCCAAGTGAGGCATTTTTTAAAAAACACCACGTCTCAGTGGCTGCACCTTGGTCCACCCCAAGGATCTGTCCCCTGACACAAACAGAGAAATATAGTGTAAGTGTTAAGTGCCAGGAGGATTGGCAGGATTTATACATCGGGGAAACCAAACAACCTCTGGCTAAGCGGATGGCACAACACAGAAGAGCCACTTCGTCAGGCCAGGACTCAGCAGTCTATTCACACCTACAGGCCAGTGGACACTCTTTCAGTGATGAGGATTTACACATCCTGGACAGGGAGGAATGCTGGTTTGAGCGTTTAGTCAAGGAGCCCCTTTACGTGAAAAGGGAAAGACCATCTCTGAATTGAGGAGGGGGCCTAAGGGTACATCTCTGCCATCTTACAATGCTGTAATTGTAGCCATTCCCCAACTCCCTGTAAATGGTACTTATGGTCATTGATCAATGGGCTTTGATCAGTGGTTGTTGTCATGAGAATTTGCATATTAATTGATCAAGGAACTGACCTCCCAGCCCATTGTTCCCTCAATGGTGCTAGTTTCAATCATTATACAAATGTACTATTTATAAGATTGGGGAAACCTGCAGTCAGCTGAGACTGAAGAATTCACTTGGATGAGTGATGAAATGTTTCTCCCACTGAAAACGCTATGTCCAGATGAACAGAAAAGGCATTTATGCAGGAAAAACATTCAGAATTCACAAATTCTTTTACACATATTTGACTGACTATGACTGACTCACTGGGAAATAGCCTTTGAAACAGAGTGGACTACAGGCAGTCACAACATCACCCAAGTTTATATATAACCATCAAATGAAAATTGGAAAAAGTAAGTGCTGGAACATCATAAGATTTAGTGCTGATCAGTCACGAATGAACAAGTTTGTACAAAACAAGTTTTAACAGTATGTCCATAAAAACATTAAAACATGTCTGGGATGCCTTCAGTAGCACAAACACTGACAGTGTTTGGTGTAAGGGTGTACATTATCAGACTAGTATGTTTGTATCAATCACAACAGATCATTCTTTCAGATCTTTGTGAGGGCTGCAGTCAACAGGCCTTAATAGGATAGTAACTACATCCTCGCTACATTTGAGCTTCAATTTGTTGTCCAGCAGAGGGCGCCCTCTCTTTTTCAGCACGCCTCAGTGGGTCTGTGTGTGTTTTGTTTTGTTTTTTTCAAAGCTTGTTTGAAAGTATGTTGAGTTTAAAGGTTGGAAGTATTTGGAGAAACAACTTTAGGATTTGCAGATGTTCAGAGCAAGAAGTCCTGTTTTCTTATTTACTGAACAATAAAAGGTTGTTTTAGAAGCCCATTAAACACTAAATGCATTTGCATTGTGTGACCAGCACTGTAAAAGAAAAAAAAAATGCAAGAGCCATTTAGGTGGCACATGCTGTAGATTATGGAGGAGCAAAATTGTGTGTGGATTGGGGTCTATATTAAACTTCCCCTGTAGTCCCAAGTGGGGCGAGCACAGGAAAGAGAGATTGCCAAAATCAGGAAAAGAAAGAGGGAAAGGAAAGACAACCAAGTGAGCTGCGGCTCCAGTTTCAACCCTCTAGCCTTTTATTCTCTCTTTGCCTCTGTGCACCCCCTCCCTTTATTTCTCCTCTTTTTCTCCTGTTATTTTTGGGTGTCCGTGTCCATTCCTGTTTGCATTGCTGTTGTCGGCTACATAGCCTCTAAGCATTTGCATCTTTTTATAGAGCAGGAAAGCTGAAATGCCTTTAACACAAAGCACTGCATTGTTCCCCTTCAGCTCACTACTTTTCTTTGACCTCTGTGACATCTGCCTCCTCTAGGTGCCCAAATCATCGACCTGATGATGCTGGTGGTGGATGTGGTGAAAGGGGTGCAGACTCAGACTGCAGAGTGTCTGCTGATAGGGGAGCTCACCTGCCCTCGCATGGTTGTTGTCCTGAATAAGATTGACCTACTGCCACCCAACAAGAGACAAAGTGCCATTGAGAAAATGACCAAGAGACTCCACAAAACACTGGAAAGCACCAGGTCTGCAATTATATCTAAAATGATAATTGGGTTACACAGCTGCATAATGTAGAGCCACACATTAGTGGGGTTACGGGGATCCCAAGCACTTGCAGTAATCACAGGTCTAACCCTCATGTCAGCTCCCTCATTTATTACACTTCATATCTCTCCCTCTGTGTCCAGAGTTAGTCTGCTCAGCCTGCTTATATTTCAGTGATGCTTTAAAGAAAACAACACCCCCCCCCCCCCCAAAAAAAAAAAAAAAAAAAAACAAAAACGAAAACATTGAAGCATGACATGATTCCACCTTGTTGTTTTTCTGTCGGACAGATTTAAGGATTGTCCTGTGATTGCCGTAGCAGCAAAGCCAGGGGGTCCCGAGGCTCCTGACACAGAGGAGCCACAGGGAGTGCCACAGTTAATAGAGGTAAAAGAGACTGGTTCCACTCTGTTGTTACTAGTTAGTCAATAATAAATGAGTGATCAGTAATTTACTATGATTACTTAATTGATGTGCTTAAAAATGAGTTGGTCACAGCAAGTATTTCTTTAATCACACATTCTCAAAGTACCAAATTCAGTGAGTTAACATGCGTGAAACATTTTTAGATATTATTTAGAATGTGTCTGCTGAGTTTGGATTTATGTTGATAGGTTTTTGTTTTGTGCTGATTCATTCATTCAGTCAAGTGAGTGGAAGAGTAATACAATACAATATAACTTTATTTGTAGAGCACATTTAAAAACCAACACTTCACATAAAAGACAGAAAATAAGACAAATATTCTAAAAATTTAATATTATTAAATATGTAACATATAAAACATATTAAAAGCACAAAGCCAGAAAAGATATGCATAAAATGTAAGAGTAAATTTTACCTTTTATACATGGGAAGTAAAGCTTCCTGTGTCTCATTGAGCACAGTATATCATGAACTGTAGGGTTGAGTATCACATACTTGTGGGCCACATTAAGTGTCACCACTGGCTCACGGGATGTACATGAAAATTAAATAATCCACAAGGAGCCATAGCTAAATAAATTCTAACTAATGTAAATAAATGCTGTCAACACTTGTCTGTAGTTCTGCCATGAGATAAAAATGTGATGATAATGTTTTAGGCTATTCTTTTTTTTATGCGTATCTAAATTATAAACAGTTTTGAAGCCATTATTGTTAGTATTTTTTTATTTTCCTCATTGTTTTGAAGAGACAAACGTATGCAATAAGAGCAACATTTGACAGCTGGAAAAGAAGCTCAGTGCTCTCTGGTGGTCAAACTGTCATGGAAACATTACTTCAGGCACATCTGGAACGTGGAGTTTCTTTACTGCTCACTGATTTCGATAAACAATTGGTTGATTTTACTGGTCAAACTAAGTCAAGTGTTCAATAAAGCTAAATAAAACGTAACCTAAGGATGGTACTCTGGAGAGTTAATGTACATTTTCCTGGAGTGTGAAAAACTGCTGAGTCGGATCAACTCTGTCAACATAAGAGGCCGAGCTTCAAAAACAGGATTAATGAAGACAAGATATGGATCTCATTAATGCTTGTATGTGTCCGAAACCATAGACGTGACCTTCAGATATTTTTTCAAATCGATTAGAGTGTCTTTTTTGTATTTCATTTTGAATATGTGCTTTCTCCTTCTAGCTTTTGAAGAAACAGACATACCTACCAAAGAGAGACCCTGGAGGTGACCTCCTAATGGCTGTGGACCATTGTTTCTCTATCCGTGGTCAAGGAACAGTCATGACTGGGACCATCCTGCAGGGGTCACTGGCCATTAATGACACTGTAGAAATCCCAGTGCTAAAGGTGTGTTCCAAAAAAATGGGCACGAATTTGGAATTTCTGATATGTACAAGCACGAAACATTCCCGAGCAGTGGAAAAACATTCGAAGGAACCGCAGTTTCGGAAGTTCAGAAGTTGAGTTGGCTGTGGGCAGAAAAAGGGACGGCTTGCCGGCTGGGATCAGAGGATGTGTCAGTTTAGTACGAGGGAAGGATGGGGGGACTGGGGGTGGACTGGGAGCACAGGAGTTGGGTAATTTAGACCAGATGCAAACTATGAGCATGTCTCAGTGGTCTTGTGTGCAGTCATCATGGTCACCTCTTGGAGGCAGCATATAGCTAGATTGATAGCCACTTGTTAAGGAGCCTCAATCCAGCTTACGGGTGATTTTGTCTGTGTAATAGGCAACAAACACAACCATGAAATTCTCAGTGTCAAGCTAGGGATCGAGAGTGTGGTGTGACATATACGTATACATAGATGCTCATCTGGACACCTTTAAATCATCCATGTGTTCACCTGTTTTTGGAGATGCGTATTTGGTGTAACAAAACAAAGCTTGGCATCTATTTTTCAATCAGTGTCTTATTTATCTTCATATATATTCAAATATGATTTTTACTCTTCAGGTCCTTTTCTCAGAAATTAGTCATGTATAATATTTTACACTTTAATGGGACTTTTTAAATATCCAAGAAGTTTAATTATTTGTCTTTGCATTTATCAAAGCTAATATGCTGACAAATAGTTCTTATCTTTTAGAGATGAACAGTGCACTTTAAACTGTAACTTATACAAGCTTTTTGTTTACATGTGTGCATGTTTTATTGATAAAATTCCGTTAAAGGGCGTTTTTGTGTGTTTTAAATATCAGAGTACAGGAGAAAATGATAACTATTATAACTGATGTTTCATTTCTTTTTAATCTCTACATGTATTCTGGGTTTGTTTTTCAAATTTTACCTCTAAAATGAAAACATTGATAAAAATAAAAATGATAAAGGGAATATAAAACATTATTCTCTTTCAAAAGGAACCTATAGGAAGTTAAATTCTAAGCTGTAAACTTTACTGTAGAGCCCTAGTATGCTTTCTCCTTCTCAGTTTTGCAGTTGTAGCTTTGTATCTGTTACATCTCAGTCTCTTATTACGTTTACATGAGGAAACTTTATTGTTTGTATTTAAATGTGTTTTGAGCTGTGTTATTTATTTCTCTATGCTCTCTGACATCAGGTGACCAAGAAGATAAAGTCGGTGCAGATGTTTCGGAAGCCCGTGTCTGGGGCCATGCAGGGGGATCGGGTGGGTGTGTGCGTAACACAGTTTGACCCTAAACTGTTGGAGCGTGGTGTGGTGTGCACCCCTGAATCCCTGCGCACGCTCTTTGCAGCTGTCATCTCTGTAAGGAAGATAGGCTACTTCAAGGGCTCTCTGTCCACCCGTGCCAAGTTCCACATCACAGTGGGTCACGAGACAGTCATGGCAAAGGTGACCTTCTTTGGCCTGCCACCTGTGGGTGCCTCAGAGCCCCCTCCAGACTCTAAGCCGCCTCCATCAGAGCCCTGCTCACTGGAAACTCCGTTCACCTTCGACAGGGAGTACTTCTACCAGGATGAATATGTAACTGGTCAGGGAGAGGGGAGTTTGGGGCCTGACCCAGAGCAGTGGGCTCTATTGGAGTTTGAGCGGCCAGTCACGTGCCCTTTGCTCTGTCTAGTAATTGGCTCAAAGCTAGATACAGACATCCACGCCAATGCATGCCGGCTGGCTTTCCAGGGCCGTCTGCTGCAGGGGTTTGAAGATAAAAACTACGCTGAGACCGATCTACCTCGTCTGCGCATTTACAAAACCAAGCACAAGGAGGGACAGGTGGAGAGGGTGAGTGCACGCTCAGCAGTTTGTCTCTCATTTAAAATGATCAGTGTGGTGACCTTTCAGCCTTCTTTGGAGTCCGCTCCTTGCATCTCTGCCCGCTCTGTCACCTTGCGCTCCTTTTGCGTGCTCTGAATCTTTGGATGTTTCTCATTGCTGGTGGCACTGGAGCGTGTCGCAGACAGAGCCCCTATTGTATATTCATAAACAGACACGTACACACAAACAAGCATGCATATGCAGCTCTGGTGAGCAATATTTGAGGCATGGGATGGGTATGCATGCCTTAGCATGTGCTGTGACAGAGGTGTGCGTGGGTGGCCGCCTGACGCCACTAGTCCTGTCTAGCTGTCAGAGGCTGGCGCTGTTTGGACACACCTGAGTGGCACACGAATATCCACATCCACTGTGAACTAGCCTAACTCTCCCTTCTGTCTGCCTGGGCGTCTTTCGCTCTCATTCTCTTCCTCTCTGTCACATACTCTCGCCACCTTTATTTTCGTATTTGTGTGATTGCTTTTTCATTGTGTCCTGAATCCCGAGCCGCTCTCTCTGTGGTTTTCATCAAACATCTAACTGACTTAACTTGGATTTGTCATTTTTTCAGAAACTTAACAAGTTATATTTAAATTTTTGTTCACACTAAGTGTGATGTTGATAATAGCTGTTGTCATTCTGTGTGTTACATTCTGTGTGTGCAGCTTCTCTGCATGTTTCCCTCATAGAAAGGCAGATTCAGGTCAGGGTTCAAGTGTGTGAATTAGTTTCCTGCTTTAGCACCTCAGGCTGTTGACAGCTCCACTCGCTAACTCAGGAGCAGAACAGCATGTGCACGAGGTCAGATGGTGGTCGTGTGACGTTAACGTTGTCACTCGTGTGTCTCCCAGAATGCAGCAGTTATGCTTCAAACTTAAAGAATGTCCTTTTGGTAAAAGAACACATTAGTGGCATTGTTGAGATATGACGAACTCGAACAGCCACAATTCAGACGGTCTGTCAAACGACGTATACAGCAACTGTATTTTTTTTTTATCAGCTCATCAGTCACGCTTGCGATACATCAGGGTCAAATGTTCAAGAATGAATGAGGGTTAAGCAGAAGAGAAAGGAAGAGCTGGTGATGAGGGCGAGTTGGAGACAGAGCGGTGCCCTCACGTTATCAGATTAGCAGCGGGTTATATTGACTTAGTGATGGATGATAATCGAGAAATAAAAGCAAATATGCCATTAAGTGCACAACCATGGAAAAGAGAGTGCGAGACAGCCAGGCCGCGGGACTCGAAGAATGCAGCTGGACGGTGCAATTGATGAGGATGTGGGACAGATCAGCTCTTTGTGACGGAGGATTAAGTCACCACAAGATGAGCAATAAATGAATTATTAGATCATACGCTGCCTTGCACACTGTTTGCATCATTGTTGCTCTCTTGTGCCCAGGTAACCGATGATTACACTGTGATTGGCCGCAGCCTGTTCAAGAAGGAGACCAATCTCCAGCTCTTTGTGGGGTTAAAGGTCACCTTGTCCACAGGAGAAACTGGTGTCATTGAGGGTGGGTTTGGCCAGAGCGGGAAGTTCAAGATTCGCGTACAAGGTAAGGATTTAGTGAAACAACTACCCTGATGTTTTCTGCTGCACATAACAGTCTCTCCCTCTTCATCAGTGCTCACATCAGGAGCAAATTCTCTGTCTTTTCTTGAATTTTTGGGGCTCACCGGACAGTTTTCAGGATGTGGTAAAAGTGGTAGGCCTGACATCCCGAGCCACATTCCCAGGATTCCTCTGGGGATTGCACGTGTTCCGGGGGAAGCCTGATCAGTGTTTATTTTACCTTCTGTTGCTCAAAACCCACGACTCCACACCAGGAGGGAAGAGAAAACAAAAATATCTAGAAAGAGAGCCTCACCTACATCCTTTTTGCTGCCTTACTCCTGCATAATCAAAAGTCTTACATATACTGTCACGCACATCTTCAGGCAGGAACATAACATGAGACATTCAGGGGTATAAGACAGAGAATGATGGGTTATGATCTGTTTGAGCAGTTGTACTCCTAACCCTCAAGTGAATCCATCATATTTTGTATAAGAATACTTTTTTAATGGCTTTACATACAGATTCTTACCAACATCATTAAGTGAGGTGGTCTCCTTGGCAAAGCCAAAGTCTGTGAGCTTGAGGGGGGCACCGGGTCTCTTTCAGGAATACAGTAAGTTCTCTGGCTGCTGGGAGTATTCAGGAATCTAACAAAAAGATATGATTACAACATTAGTAACTAAATCACCCTCAGTTGAAAGAAAAATAAAGTAAATTTCTTATGAATAAGTATGATAAGCCAATGACAAATCGCTTGAGATCTCTGTGGGCGATGTTGATTGCGTGTAGAAATTGGATAGCCTCACCTGTGCTCTTCATGATGTTAGTAGCCTCTGAAGTGGTGAGACTGTCTGGTCTTAAAACAGATAATAAATGATTGGACTGAAAAGCTTGTCACCATCCATGCTAAAAATTCAATTTCAATTTGCCAGTTTGTTAATCAGTTCAAGTAAATCATTGCGATAAAAATTGCCACTAAAAACCTATTAGGAATCTACTAGGACCAGCCAGAGTCTCGAAAGGCACCGAAGGTAGGTTGCTATGGTTGCTTTCACGCTCTTTTAGTATAACTAAAAGAGAGATTAGCAGTTGATCATTTTAAACACAGGTCTAAACAGATCGTTAATGTGTTCAACAGCAAAGATGGAGGATGACAAACTCTCTTAATGCCCCCTTTATGGTTCAGAAACTTAACATCAGCATGCGGCATGTACAGACATACGTATGTAAAGTAATGAATCCTGGTTTTCAATATTTTTTATGCAATGAGGAGTTTCAGAATCCCAGTTCTACTAAATCTTTTCTCAGCTTTAGAAGGGATGTATTGTCCTCATATTCTCAAAAGCAACAATTTTCCTTGATCAAACAGATTTCCTCAACCACCTCTGGTTGCTCTTGTTGTTCTGGTTGCTCAGTTGTCAAACTGCATGTACTTCTGGATATCTCTGATTCTCACATGGTACACCACAAAATATTAAAGAGCAATGTTTAGAAGCTGAAAAATACAGTAAAGACAAAGCTTATAATGTTAAAAAAACCCACATATATTTCAAGGGCCATAAATAGAAACATGTTCCTTATCTAACTTCCTGTAGGAAAAAACCCCCTGAAAAAATGTAGATTCCAACAAATTCATGATAGGAAACATTTTATTTTTAAATGTAATAAGCTTATAACAGGAGGAAAAGACGAATATGTAGTTGTTTGGAGGTTAAAGCTGTTTGTATATGCTGGAAGTCTGAAGTAGTTTCTTTCTCACTCAGTGTAAAAAAAAACAAAACAAAACAAAACAAAGTATTGAAATGCTTTTACTCTAATACACAAGTTAACTTGTAAATATTATGAGCTCTCCTGCGGCCAGCACAGGTCTGTTTCTAATGTGTGTGCCTGCTTTTACACAGACTGCACCCACAGATTATTTCCTGTTCAAATCAGCTGTTCATACCTGCATTATTCATAGGGCTGCAACTAATGATTATTTTTATCATTCAGCTGAGCATATAGTCTAAGATAATATTCCTATAATTGTGTGTTATGTTAGAAATAGGTAAGAGGCCTATCCACAGATTTCTTGTACAGAGTAGAAGTAGTAGTGACCGGAGTATTACTGATTGTTACTACTTTTCAAAATATACCGACACAAAACTGTCAGTATATTTGCCACTGCACATGTTCTCCAAGCATGTGTACTTTACCACTGAAAAGCCCAAAAGAACTGTGTAATACATTAGGTTGCTGTCGTTGTATTGATTCAGTCACTTCGTATCTCCACAGAAAACAAAGTGATCTTCACACCAAAGACAGTTTTTATCCGTATTTTATGCTTTTTGCTTATTAACTTTGAACCACATCTGACAAATATTTTTTAAGTAAAAATCGTCATGCTTTGAGAGACGCTTTAAGTTTGTGTAGTACCTGTAAAGTTTAATTTTGCTGTGTGTGGAAAATGCCAAGACATTGGCAGCATTTGTGGGCAGAAAACAAAATAGCAATCCTCATGTGTCACTTGAACCCAAGTGATAGGGTGTGGGAGGGCGTGTTTTGTGGTGGCGAACGGGGCATTTTCAGCTGATCAAAGATAACAAGAAGAAATTTCTGGCTGCGCTGCAACCATAACAACCCTCACGCTGGCATAACGATAACAAGAAGAATGCTGGCGCCGCTGTACGTGAGGTCAGACAGCCAGCATGTAAAGCAGTGAACTGAGACCATTTTTTACCTTCCGTGTGCAAGGCAGCAAGCAAACACGCATTCAGTTTGTTCCCTCGAAAAGACATACAGACAGACGACAAGATATGATAGAGAAGGACTTGCATTGCACGCCTAACTGGCATCGAACAATAAACTGAGCATTCGCATGGGTTGGTATGGCTTAGAATAAGGCCAATATGAGAGGAAAGTGATGACTGAGAAGCTAACAGATAGATGCGACACAATGTGGAACTGTGTAGATTATAACTAGGAGCAACTGCGACCTGGTTTTCTACATACTGTCGTCAGTTACATCAGGAGCACGAAGGCATCAGTTGTTTTTGAGGTCAGCACATTGTTACAACATCAACTGCACACATAACTGAAAAGATCCATATCATGTATCACATATGCCATCACAACTACTGTTCATACTGTCGGACAGTATACAGTAACGATCTTAACGTTTTCTGTGTTTCCATCAATGCAGTTTTTAATACAGTTTGAGTTGACCTTGATGTTGATGTTTTTCTTTAGAGGGTCTTCGACCAGAAACCAAGCAGCTGTTTTCCTCCGCCTCTAAGAAGAAAGGGAAGAGTGGGAGCAAAGGTGCAACTGCAAATGAAGAGGAGCCCAGAACAGATTTTCAGCCTGTTAGCATTCACTTGCATTTCAAGCGATATGTCTTTGATCCCCATAAAAAGATGGTTCAGTCTTGACCTCTGCTGCGCACACTTATAGACAGACACCATTGGTGACAGAGAGTAAGATAGAGAAGTTGTTTGAGAAGTCTTGGCACAAAGAGAGGTGACTGCCAGGCTGTGTTAACTCTCATTGCCTTTCTTTTTTTCTGGAGATGGAGACAGTCTGCTGAAATGCAATGATTGTGGGACGCTAAACGCATGCAAAGCAGTGATTGTTTTATCTCAGTTTAACGAGCTGGATCTAATCCTGTTTGCTCCATCAGAAGGGTGAAAGCTGCTCAACAGATCTCAATACGTTTGATTTATCTTTGAAAGAAATCAAGGCTTTTGTTCTTCTTTATTGATAAAAACAGAATTGATTCAATCATTCTGACTAGAAACTAACTTTTGTCTTTGCTGTTTATGTGTGTGTGTTTAGTTTTTTTATTTTAAATTTCATCTGAGAACTTGTTGGCATAAAGACTTTAGCACTGTAGAAATACTAAACTCACGTTCTTTGCTCAGTGACTGGGTTTGGCTGCATCTTTAACTAATCGGTGATCATTGGCAGTTTGTATGATATTTGATTTCTGTTCAATATTGATGATCTCAGAGAATTAAAACAAAACTCCTGTGAAGACTGGTTTTTTTTTTCAGGAGGGGGGGGGAGTATTTATTCATAAAGTAGTACACTGGGGGTTCAATACGAGCCCTACTGTACTGTTTATATACTGATAATGCTCCAGCAGAGTGTAAGTTACAGAAATGACATTAGTTTTGCTAAATTTATAGTCAATAAAATATATAATGCACACTATATGTCGTCAAATAATAATGCAAGCAATCAGAATTGCTGTTTGAGTTGAAAAGAAGGAAGTCTTGTGCATTCTGACTCTCCAGACACAAGAAGAAAAATGGTTTGCACATGATTTAGTCTCCCTTCTTTAAACCCTAAAAAAAGGGACATCAGTGTTGCTGCTAATCAGCAGTTATCGAGAAGTTGCTGTTCAGCCACGGTCACGTCTCTGTGCCTGAGTATGCGTGTATGTACGTGTCCATCCTGTCAGTGTTATTGGGCGGGGCTGTGAGAATGCAGGACGCTCGATATGTAGCGGATGATGTCAGCAAACTGTTCCTGTGAACAGCGACTCTATCTCAGCAGGAATCTGTGGAAATTGGAGAGGGGGGGTAAGGAGGGAGGAGGAGCAGCAGGAGCAAGAGGGGACACTGGAAGGATTGTTCCTCTGAGTGACAGTCCTTTTAGTCTTATCTCCTCTCGTTCCTCTTATAGAAAACCAGACAGAAAAAAAAAATCTGTCGCTTTTTACTCCTGGTCTCTCCAATTTCTCTTTCTTGCTCCACCTCCCCCTCTTTCATTCTGGTTTTTATAGAACCCCCCTCCCCTTTTTCTCTATTACTGGCTTCGTTATGAGGCTGTCATGGAAATTAGCTTTTTGGTTCCTAAATATTTCCCCAGTGTTACAATTAAACCGGCATACCATGACAGCGCACATATTTGCGTCATTGCCCAAGTTTAAGATCTTAAACGTAACAAAACAATAGTGTGCATGTTTGGTTTGTTTCCATATGTCATAATCTCCATTACTATAAGAATGTCCTTAAACAACAAAAGCATTAAAATCAAAACATGGTGGATAAAAGATAATAGATCGTGATTACCTTGATAAAGATCTTGTGTTTCATTAATACAGATGTGATAGCGAGCACACTGAACACCCCCCCCCCCTTTTTTTTTTTTTAAACATGCATGCTAATCCTGTTGTGCATGGATGAGACAGAGGGGTTACACTTATTCCTGCAACATTGTGGCCTACATGTCCTCATATTCTCTTTTCCCACACATCCTGTAATGTGCTCTCTTTAAACACCCCCCCCTCCCCCCTCCCCCCTTTCTGTTTTCCTCCAAAGAGATGAAATACAGCAATGACCATTTTCCCTTCAACACCCCTTTCCTTTTTACTGGTGACCTCCAGGTCAGACAGGAGTCGAGGGTCAACGTCTGAGCGTCTGATTGTTTATAGATGGAAAACATTCGCTGATGAGCACTGATAACAAGCTGGGTAGGAGAAAGAAAAGAAGGAAGAGTTAGATTATTGGCAAGGCAGAGGAGGAGGGCTGCAGAGAAGCATTTCAAGACAAGAGGAGCTTGAAAAGACTAATTAGCAACTATTTGATTGGTAAACGGCTGTATCATCAATTAACAATTAATCCAGGGAGGCTAGGGTAAATTACTAATTCTTCTGCATTGTTTTATATCTTATTTTCCTTGCAAGCAATTACAGATATTCTTTGTGTTTGTTTTTTTTTACATTTGTATTTTATTTATTTATTTTTACCATACAAATGAGTCTAAAATAGCTTTTTAAAGAATCTTTGCCATCAGACAGCTGCACCGTACTAATGAGACACAGACGGATAGAATCACCCTCGGCCTCATCACTCCTCTGAACCGTCACATGCAAATATAATTAGCTATGATTAAAATGAGCGGCGTTTAATTAATACCTCCGCGGCCTCTTTCTGTCGACTTTTCCATTTCCTGCGCCGCTTATCTCAGATCCTCCCATCAGCTGTGTAAGTCTTTCTAGGTGTTTTGTTCTTGACACGCGCTTTTGTAAAATATGGATGTGATCAGAGAAGAACATTAAACCTATATAAAGTCACAAGGTTTATTTCACTTCCAAAACGGTTTGAAGCACGTCTGCAGTAACCAGATGAGCACAATGTGAAAATGCAATTCCAAGTCATTTTTAAAATGTTTCTGACTTCAACAATGCCAAAGTCAGAACCACAAATATGCACACCTGACTATCTGACTTTATTTGATGTTCATGTACTCTTGCACAAGTGTTAATTTAACATGACTGAAATTCACTTAAATTACCAAAATGGTTGTGGCCACTTAATCTCACTTAATCTTTAGTTGTGGTTATGGAGGGTCTTCAATTTATGGGCAAAAGAGATATTTAAATGATGCAAACTGTGGAAATATAATAATGGCTTATTTATTTATTTACTTTTAGCACATGTGATATATTGAATGCTATTTCAATAAATAAAAAGTAAAAATGTAAGGGTTAGAAGCCAGAAACAGTAAGTGCTAGGATTTGGGACACTCTGCAAAAAAGAACTTTTGGGATGTGTCCACTTAGAAAAGGAACATTTTTTATTTGTCGGAAAAAATTCCAGAACTCAAAAAACAACAAAACAAACATAAAACTAATACTAATACAGATAAATTATATATAATATAATAATAATTATAATAATACAGATAAAACGTAAATATTCCCTGAAGACTCCCTTCTTTAGATATGAGGAGCAGCAGGCACCAGCAGTGGTGAGTGCAGACTGCCTCTTTCATTTCAGTCATAAATCTGCTGGCGCTGTGAGCTGCTGCTCAAGAGTTATTTTCAATTTTCATAAAAGTTGGGCATCCCTGTTTTGTTTGTTTTTTTCACTTTTCCTCTTTCGCGTCTGTTTTATTCATTTTAGTATTATTAGTCTCAGGAGTCAAGGGGAGGTAAAATACAGACTTCTGCATATGTGTTATCATAATATAAACATATAGAGAGATTACACTTCTGGTATTGTATAATATAAAAGCATTCTTTTCTTATGGACAACCCTCCTCATGGATTTGCAGTGATGTTCATTAATAGTTTGTAGTGTTGAGTTTGTTTTGTTTGTTTGTTTTTACCAGAGAAGTTTGTTTCACATAATTTGTTTTTAACAGTCATTATAGTTATTAATTGTGTCAGCAAGTTTTAGAAAAAGGCTTTTATTCATGTAACCAGCTTCTAAAACCAAATTCTTTATATCCTTTGCACATTAAAGAGCCCCATTAGCTGATTTATCCACAAAACTTTTTTAAAGCCTAAGCAGAACACCATAATGAAAGAAAAGCTTTTAAAACCACCATTGTTTTCCCATCATCACTGAGTTGTTTGCATATCTCTTCCTCTCTCATTTACACAGACAGAAAAAACATGCAAATTAGTGCTGGCACCTCAATAAAGCAATCTATTGATGTACTGTTTCCACACCCTGGCGTACACACATGCACACACAGTCTGTTTTTACCGCTGCTGTCATCGTCTCATCTCCTTCCTCATCTCACCTCAGGATGAGGGGACGGTCAGTGAAAGGCAGAGGCTGATGGCTGAAGAATAACAGTCGATCATTATAGCTGAGCTCAGCAGAGTCCAGCAGTCCAAGTCAGAGGCCATCTGAAGCATCACCTTGGTAAAAAAAAAAACCAAAGAACCTTTCTGTGTGTCAGTAGATGTCAATGCACCTTCACACATACAGTGGAATGAGAGGAGACAAATATACACAAACACCTGCAGCTTTGATTGAGATTACTGTGAAGAGCAGTGGCAGTGTCTTTAGCTCTGTTTATTTATTTTTGTTAGCGTAGCATGGATGCATAGAATTATTGCTAGACTAATGAATTGCCCTATCCAGTACAATGGCCAGTATTAGGTTAATGATAATGCATGCATGTAAATAAGGGTCATGTAACAAGAAATTCAGAAACGCCTCAGGTAATTTTTAAGCAGTTAACAAACAGCATTGTCATTATGTAGTTTATTAATTAAGGATTTCTGTAAAGTTTATGTTTGGAAACATTAAGTGTGATGTGATTCCTGCTCCAAAAACGCTAAATCTGATTTGAAATACTGCTATCCCTTTCAGTGTTGTTGCATTTTCTTTTTCTTATCCAATTCAATCAATTCAGTGAGAGGCAGGGTGTACATCTTGGACAGGTTGCCAATCTTCCACAATGCTAACACAGAGAGACAGACAAACATTCAGGCTCACATTCACACGCATGCTCAGTTTAGAATCACCAATTAACCTAAAATGCATGACTTTGGTCTGTGGATGGAAGCCAGAGTAACAAGAGAGAACCCACACAGACACAGGGAGAATATGCAAGCTCCACACAGAAAGGCCCTAGACTGGCTTCAAAGTGGTAACCACCACAGCACCTTCCTGTGGGCTGTTATTTTATGATGTATATCTAGAAGTCCACTGCTGACGAGCTGCCAAGTGCTGGAGCTCTTCCACTGTGTCAAAAAGGGAGACCATTCAACTTTAAATGTGACTTTATGGGTAACAACGTCAAAAGAACCAAACATGAACAAGAGGGTGGCAAAATGGCACATGCCACAATTTAAGTTGCTAAATTTCCTCTCTTACTGATCCTGCTGGTCACACCTCTGACCTGATCCACCAACTCATAAGTTCTTCAATTAAAAATAGCAGTTCGGTAAATTAGATTTTTCTGGGCACCTCACGCGCTGATTGATCTTTGTAAACAAAAATCTAAAGGTTGTCTGGAAAAATGACATTTGTAACAATATTATTACAATTTCTTTTATTTCATAAATATCACTGATCATACATTTCTCTCTTAACCCTCCGTTTTTAAAAATGTATTCTAACATAAAACATATAATTGTCATCAGTGATGCCGTTAGCTCTGTTTACAG